CGGAATCTTGCGACTCGGACAGCAGCGGGAGCGAGGACGAGTACGGTGAAGTGACGGCGGAATCTTGCGACTCGGACAGCAGCGGGAGCGAGGTCGACGGCGACGAGACGGTGGCGCCGTTGTACCTGAACGGCAGCGGGAGCGATACCGAAGTCGACGACGAGACGATGGCACCGTTGGACGTGAGCGCCGGCACGACCGAGATTCGTCCGTTTGACGGTGCTCGTCACGAGGATTTCGGATCGGCCTTTTTCTGTCCGTCTAACGTCCGCGGCCGGTGTCCGTGGCCGCCCGGTCACGATATACACGTTTCGTGCGACGCGCACCGCGGACGGTCGCAGACGGCGACGACGGTACGCGGATATCCGCCACCGTACCCGGTGGACGGTTCCGGCAGCCACGTGTCCGCCGACGTCCACCAACACTGCGGCTATGACGACTCGCTGGGCTACGGGTGGGCGCCGCACGTCCTCCCGCCGACCTATCGGCCGGTGCCGCGTCCCGGTTTCATGTGCGCCAACTGTCGGCCAATGCCCGATCGTTGAGCTGTTTTTTTTTTCTATTTTGTTATTAATAATATTAATAAAATTATTGTTATTATATGTTATATTATTGTGTCTTTCCTTAAAAAATAGGTCTCTTGAGTATTTGCATGATGGTTGTGATCAAGGTCTTAAGGTCTTAACTACCACAGTTAAAGTTGTTGATAAAAAAAAAATATTGGTCGGAGTAGATAGTCTAAACAATGTTAAATCCAGTAACAACTCGGTCTGTGCATCTTTCAAGTGAAAGTCAAGTCTAGTGTCATTATTTAAAAATTTGTTGTGCCCCCTCGGCCACCAAAGTCTGAACACGCTCATGCTTTAACACGAAGGCTAAACAGGAGAAATATATAAATATCTGTAATATGTAAGTATTAGACAGTCGTGTGTTACGGAATTATTATTTTAAGAGGAATTTAATATTCTCAAGAACGGTATATGCATGGCAAAAGTTAAAATTATTGTACATGAATTAATAAACAATATTATCCAGGAAATAGTTAAAAGCTTAAAATCGAATCCTTGTTTAATTTATCACAAGTCTTATATTGTTTTCTATAAGTTGTAAGTTTATTTGATTACATAAACACTTTAATGTAGACATAACATATTTATTTATTATTTTACATAGACAAATGTTTAAGTCATTTGAATTTATACTGAAATTATTATTAAATTATTTTTATTTAACCGAGGAAAACAATAAAATTAGTTATGAAAAAAATTAAATTTAGATCATTCAACGTTCAGAGCCATGAAGTGTATTGAAATTCTTGGAATTTTAAAAATATAAATCAATAGAGTCTGATATCAAAATAAAAGAAAAAAACATAAAAAATAACTGGATTGGCTTCGCTCTGCTGTCCAGTAGGGGGTGGAGTACACCTCGTTTATAGGATAAGTCATTACAATGGATTTGTTAAATTTGAATGCAATGATAGGTATCATTCAGTGTTAAACGTAATCGATTACGATTAATTTATTAAATTACATTAGTTATTAATCGTTTAATCATTTTTTAAAGTAATCAGTAATGGCGATTGCATTTGTAATCGTTAATCGTAATTACTGATTTTATTTATATTATATTTCTTTAGACTTTAAATAGTATGAATTTCCAATCTTTCAACTTAAGTCCTAGAACCAGGAATTTATTATATATATATATAGTCCATTAATTGGGTATTTCTTTTATCTTATCTGACACGTGTTAGAAGGTATTTATTTTTTTATATAAAAATACAACACAAAGTCCCATGATTGTATTTATGTAATTTTGTAATTAATTTTTTTTTTCTTAAACTAGATATAAAATACAATAATTATAGAAAAAATAATAAAGATTAATTCTGATCACATATGAATACATTTTGTAATCGTAATCAATAAGATGATTAAATTATTACTATAATAATTTGAAATTATTTTTAATTGTGATTAACGATTACATTAATTTTCATAGCGATTAACGATTATAGAACTTAATCGTAGTTATTAATCAATAATCAGATTACAATTTGCCTAACACTGGTATCATTGTATACGAATAACGATTTTGAACGGAGATGATTTGTTATATATATATATATATATAATATTATTATGTATTATTATTATTATTATTATTATTATATTATAATAATCTTATATATAGAAAACAGTCTTCCAAAAATTTTCTATTTGGATATAATTTCTATATAAATATCCTATATAACTATATTTAATTAACAAAAAATGAATCAAAACGACTCTTCTTATTTCATTAAGAAAAATCGAATATTTTAAATGCCTAAAAAAGTTGATTAAAAATAATATAATATTTTGAAAAAAATACGTTTAAAGAAAATGCCAATCTTAACAACTGGAAAAAATTCCAAGTAACTGTGACTTATACTTTTTGAATTATAATAAATACTTAAAATCGTTTGAGGATAAACCGTTATTTTATGCAATTTTGTAAGAATTTAAATTTCAAACGGTCATAGAATTTTATTCTTAAAATCCGGTAAACATTTTTTTATAGTTTTTTGATGAATAACTTATGGATAACCTAGTGTCAAAATTTTGAACATTAAGTATAAATAGAATAAATTTTATGAATTTTTATCTACAAAATAATTTGCAAATTATTCTGATTTGACACATTTTATACAAATTTGGACTTTATGGGCTTATAAAAAAAATTTGTGTGAAAGGATTTCCAATTTTTTTTAGTTGCAGTAAATATAACTTATAATGAACCTTATATTAAATTTTCAAGAGTTTTTGGAAAGCCAAATTTTTTTTATAGATATTTAAAAAAAAAACTTAGAAAAATTGAAAATTTAAGTTGTCTATAAATAAGTCAAAAAATTTCAAAATACTTCGAAAACATCACCCTGTGTAGAAAACGCTAATTTAAATATTTGGTAAAAATTTCAAGTATATGCTTTTTCGTTTTTGAGTTAGAGCATTTAAAAAAAAAAAAAACGTAGTTAGCCAAAATGTGGTTTTGCGTAAAAATTCACGTTTTTTCGTAATTTTTTTATAGTTTTTTCGATGCTTTTAAAAAGTATTGAAAAAGTTTAATTTTTGACTTGCCACAATACCATCTACATTCACTTTCCTTTCAGAAAAGTTGCTGTTTAAGAAAATCGTAGCATTTTCACTGCCCGTGATGACAGAAACAAAAAAAAAAAATAAAAAAAAACATCATTGTAAAACCAATAGATTCCATCATTCCGTACGGAATCTAAAAATACATTTTCAAACTAATTTGTTTCTGACAAAAGATTTTCACGAAAAAAAAATCAAATACAAAATGTAAAATGAAATATTTTTTAGTGTACTTCTACAATCTATGACCAAATTTCTGATGTTATATAATAGGAATTTTTTTTTTTTGCTTAAAATAGATATGTTTGTTTAATTATTACAATTCAACTGTATACGATTTTTATAAAAAATTACATATTTACATTAGAAATTTAAATAATTATTGTATAATATTAGGAATTTCTATTCACTCATGTCAGTGACGTGATTGTGGAGGGGGGCAAGTGCCCCCTGACAACTTTTTGAGAGATAAAGGTATAATTTTCCCCCCTCCAGATAATCCAACAGTACAAACAGCACCTTTTATTAATGAACTCTTATGGATATTATTTAACAATATTGGTACCTAGTACCTGCTACCTACAATTTATGTTTATCTAAACCACAAAATGAGTTAAGACTTATGTAAAATCAAACAATTAGATATACTGTATAAAATACATACAATAAAAATATGTTTTAATTGATGAGGGGAAGGGGTGTCAGGGTTTTGGTAATAATAAATATATTATATAGCCCCCCTAGTTTTTTCCCCAGTTACGCCACTGACTCACGTTATTGTTATTTTCGTTTATTTATTTGGAAATATAATGGGCTCTACAGTACAGGGTAATGTTGGAATCTGTTATAAGATAACTGCTTTTTTATTTTCATATTTTGCACCGATATAACTTAAATTATTAGGTAAACATGACCCGGTTTCATAAAAAAATAAAAAGGGGTTTTAGCTATTTACACTATTGGTATTTATACATTTATTTAAATAGGCTTGATTGATGATAAATTCAAAAGTTTAAAATATTAAAATAAACATTTGCAGAGATATAAGTTGAAATCACGTGTTATATTGAGATTGCAAAAAATCCACTATGAGTGCAATTCATCGCAGTCGAAATACATTTTGAATATTTGGTCAAAGTTAAACAATAATACAATATACGTTTTCATGTACATTGTTAAATTTCTGTCTCATTAAATAATACATTTTTTTTTGTAAATGTCTCAATAAATTTTAAATGCTAGATGAATAATATATATTTATGATGAATGAGAGTCTATCATCTAAATTCGTAATATTAACACAATTGCACAAAAATATGTTTTATTTAATAAAAATTCCAGTAAACTTACATTTGCTGTCATAAAAATACAATACGAAATTGGCACAACAATAAAAAGTCAATATTATGATAAAATCTAACTCTTCAAAACACAAATCACAAGATATGCCTGAATCTGAAAATAATTAATACATTTCCCATTAAAGCGTCCAACACTTATTCAATTGGAATACCATACGAGTATATCGTTACTAATTGATCATAGAAACTGTCATAACCGTCCTACGGTTCGACAGTGATAGAAGTTATCAGAGTAAACGTGTGCGTGTATGTGTTTGCGTGTTTTAGCCTAGGTAGTACTACTAAGCAGGCCTGGCGAGTAGAGGGGTGAAAAGGATTGATTTCCCCGAACCGGAATTTTACAGTTAACCAGAACAAAAATATATTAAAAATTTTAATTTTTTAATAGCCTGGGGGAGTTCATGGCTTCAGTGGTCCCCCCTTGAAGCTGTACCTGGTGTATACAACGATAATATTATGTGCGTACTGCTGTTGCGGATTCCTTCGGCTTATATTAATAGCCGGTCCGTGTGAAATATATTCATTGGCCAACATAAATCCACGGCTGTCGTCACCCACCCGTTCCGCATGATCCCGAAAAATTGTTCTTTCCGTACGCCGTGGTGCTATGGACTCGACCTCCACCGTCGGATACAACATCGGTCCATTAGAACTATATTCACAGACAAACAAGTACGCACACGTGTACGTTCGCACCGGTGGCCTAGTTACCAGGAGAGGGTTTCCCCCCAGATTTTTTTTTTTTTAATGATATTTAGTTATTATCTATATTTACATATTATAGTAAAATTATATTTTCATTTTACTATGATTAGGTATATACTAAAAATATATTAAAAATTAAGTAACAAAACAATTTTCAAAAAATACGAGACATAAGAATAATACCATTTTAAATGTAATATCATTATATAGGACCTCGTATTAAGATATACTTAAAATATTATGAATTGACTCTTAAACCCCCCCCCCCCCAGAAAAAAAATTGTCTACACCACTGGTACGCACTATCCGTGAATTACCTGATTCGCAATTACTTCTTAAACGGTTATCAATTGTATTATAATGTTGCAGTTGCACCACAGTCGTGGTAGCGCGTGACGAAAACATTACGTGTCTGAGGCCATTGCCGAACCTACCCGAGCCTAATTGACGCGAACGCACGACAATGTATAACTTCAATGTTTGGTGTAAATTATATTTCAGCATTACTTCACCAACTCCAGACGAGACGCACACGTTAAAAAGAACATCGTAAACAATGCAAAATAACATTATTCAAAGTCTTCCTTCAATCTCTTAGAATTAATCTTACGTATTTTTATGAGAATCATGGAATAGAACGGCCATAGAATAATATGTAATGTTACATCGTATATGTACGCAACTCGTCGAGAAACGTTGTCAACTGTAATAACCTAAAACGATAAGGAAAGAAAGAGTATAGGGATAAAGTTTGATTAGGCAGATAGCTTGCATTTTTTTGGTATTGGAAAGTTTTTCGGTTCCCTATAATTGAATGCCGTACGTCTATAATGGTTTGAGTAACGGTTTATAAATTAATGTTTTGTTTTTAATATTCATTTTTGAGCGTGAAAGTGGTCTGGAAAGATACAATAAGTATAAATATATTTGATATTTTTGTTTGAATTTAATTAAGTTCAATATATGTAAAATAGTTGCTGTAAAGTAAAAATTTTGAATTTTTCATAAAAATTAATAATGGAATATGTTTTAGGTTTATTTAAAACTATGTTGAATATGCTTTTTTTGAGCTGTAAATATTATATTGCTTGCTACAGTACCCCTTACCACCTCCAACTAAGTGGATATACTATATTGCAAAATAATCTGTGCCATAGAAAAATATACGCAGAACTACACGAAAAATTGAATATTTCGATTTGCCATAAAAGCTTATAATCTATGGAACAGATATATACTGGAAACTTGTGTATTATATTATACATTATATACATTATTATTATACATTTATGGATTTTTCAAACATTAAATAATTTTTCAATCATTAACTTGTAAGCATGAATAGTAGTCTTTGTGATGTTGAAACTGTTTTAAATAATTCAATTTAAAAACAGATTTGATGATCTTAAACTCAAAAGTAATGTAATTTAGTTATAATTAAGAAAAAATAGAAAGTTATTTCAATGAAGATTTCAAGTTAGTGTAAAAAGTGATCAAGCATCATGTTATGTCAATGATCTAAACATAAATTATTACACATAACTGAAAATATTCAAACTTTATGTTTTCTCATACCAGATACTAGTATTAAACATGGGCGCCCATAAGTAACAATTTAGGGGGGGGGGGGGGAAAAAAAAAAAAAAAATCGAATGTAAGATAATAAAGATTTAATGTTATTTTTCACATATAAATGTATACATGCATGTTATATTTTTATATGTATATATATATATATATATATATATATATATATAGTGTATTAATAATAATTGCTATACGAATAAATAAATAAATAATAATTTTATTAAGTATATAAAAAAATAGAAATTAAATAATATAATTAAATATATTATTCGGTATCAGTATATAAGAACTGCAAATTTCTTCATTTTATTCCAAAAATATTAATGACATCCTGAATTAATGTATCCTTGTTTGCGTTAACTCTTTCACGATGAAGGCTCATCATACACAATCCATTTAAACGATCTTCTTCTGTAGTTGAGCAAAGCCACGTTTTTACTCGTTTTAATGTACTGAACGATCTTTCTATTGTGCACGTTGTCGGAGGCAGTGATACAAAAATATTAAGTATTTGAAAAATTGCAGGATAATATTCGCAATGAGCCAATAAATCAACAAACGAAATTTCAACACACTGGGAGTCAATTAAATTTTTATCAATCCAATACTGATACCAAATAGTAGATTCTTCTATCATATTTTCAATTTCATAATAATCACTAATCAGCATAATTTTTTCTTTGAAATCATTAATGGTGTACTTTTTAATATTTATAGGATACAGTAGACTTATTGAGAATGCTATATTATTTGTACTTGAAAATCGTTGTGAAAGAGATGATATTAGTGAATCTAAGTATGGAATGAAAATAGAAAGTCTGTAATAGTGTTCAATAGAATCGGTTTTGTAATTTGATCCATTTTTTTGTTTGGATATAATACGTGGAATTTTAATTTCTACGCCAATTTTTTCTGCCATAAATACGGAATTATTAAAAACATCATTAAAAACGATATCCGATTGTTCTCTATTATTATTAAATATAGTTAATAAATTTTGAATATAATTTTGGACCGAGTATAAATCAATAAATTTTGCCTGCAGTTTATTTGTAACTGGTTCTAATTGAGCTGAGTATTTGGATATAATATTTAAAGATATAATAAATTGTGATGTTGATGTCGCCCATGATAGTTGGTGTGCTTTTGTGCGAGTAGTGGTGTTAACTTTAAAATCTGAGTCAATATTATGAGATAGTTTGTCTAAAACTGACTTAATATTAATAAAGTTTTCAGGAAAAATGCGATTAGATTTATATTTCGCAGACCAACGAGTATCAAAAAGTGGTATATTTGTAACCAATTTTCGACGAAGTACACTTTCACGAAAAAAATGAATAACCTCTTTAATTACTCCTACAGTATTTTGTATTTCTGTCACTGTATTCAAATCATTTACAACCAGATTAAATCTATGTGAAGCACAGTAAAAAATGTTGCTTTAGAATATTTATGACAAATTACTTTCTGAACTCCATTTTCCTTTCTAGCCATTACTGAACACCCGTCAAAACCCTAGCCAACAAGTTTATTCACATCCAAACCGTATTTTTCAACAGAAGTCAAAATAGAAGTAGCTATACCAATTGCATCTAATGTTTATAGTGCACTAAATCCTATGAATTTTTCTCTTATAGTTTTTGAACTATTAACATAACGAACACTAATTGAAAGTTGTTCAATGCCAGCAATATCGGAAGTTTCGTTGGCTAACAGTGAAAAACTTAAGTTACTATTTACTTCTCGAACAATTTAATCACATAATACATTTCCACACAATAAAATTAAATAATTTTGAATGCGATGGGAGGTATATTTAGCTTTACTATGACATGTTGATAAATGCTCAGACAGAACAATATCTCCAGATTTAACATGAAATTTTAAAAGATCATGAAAATTTCCACTAACAGCTCAATTTGCCTCTAATTGTTAAATCATGTGTCAAACAAAATATTATTGATGACAAAATCGGGACTAGCTTTTTTTTATTTTGTTCAAATTGTAAGTGTTGAGCCGTATTTAATTGATCTATAACACTTTTTTCTTTGTGGAACATAATTTTAAAAAATCTGTTGATTGAAAAACCGAATCTAAATGCCAATCAGATTGCATATATTTTTTTGCATGAAAATTAAAATCTTTATACTTAGTAAATTCACTAGCAATAAACGCTCCTAATAATCTCTTTTAACGACAAGACGAAAAACAACACAATGTTTGCATAAGCCGCCTTTTAAATGTCTAGAATAAACTAACCATCGATATTGTTTAAGCCATTCTATTTTAAAATTCCTTTTTTGTGCAATACTGTCATTCTTAAAATCATAATTATTAAAAGAAACATATGGTTTTGTAAGTAATTTATATTTAAGTTCATCTGATAAATTTGATTTATTAATATAAAATCCTAAATCTGGATATGACTCACAATCATTTGGCATATAATTAATAGTTAATGTAGGTACCGTATTTATTGACGTAGAACATTCCAGGTTTGACTTTACTTGAGCAGAAACACTTGTATTTTTCGATGTGTGTGGTTCAAGCACAGCAGATGCATTATCTTCATCAATTTTTTTTTTAATTAAAAACAATCAAATATCCATAGTAAAAATTGAAAATTTTAAAAAATAATATTGAATAATCACTTATGACACTCAGCAGTCGGCACTAAATATAATGTCACACAGAAAGTGGACGACTAAAATGCAGTCAATGTTGTCTAATGAAATATTTATAGTACCAATATTGTATTCTTTACGGATTTATCACAAATTATCTGCGATAAATGATTTTACGTATAGGTATATAGATAACAGACTACGACCTATCTATGATGTTAATATATGATAACAATGAGTATATTTTCATACTTATTTCATATCTTAAAAGTGATTTCAACAAATAATTTATCTCGGTAAAAAGGTAATACTATGGTAATATTTAATGAGCTACAAATTAATAATATTTTTTCCAGGGGGAGAAAGTGCCTTGTCTTCCCCCCCCAATGGGTGCCCATGGTATTAAACTAATATATACTAATGGATATCAAAAAAAAAAAAAAAATTGATAAAACGGTTTAATGAAATAATATATTCTAATTATGTGTATTGTTGTTTTATACATTAACATTTTATTTTTATGTAATTATTTTATCGTATTTTAGTGGATTTACTTTACTGAAAGTCTTAAAATATCACCTGAGAGATTTTTATTACTATCGATTGTTTGCAATTACCAATTTTTTTTCAAATAAGCATGTAAAAAATGTCTCTTCAAGAAAATTCTTTTAAATTATTTTTTTAAATTTTATGTTTTCCATATTAAGTCATCGATTTCAGCGATAGATGTTTTTGCTAATTCATAGAAAAGTACATGTAAACCATTGTTCCGTAATATATTACGAGGAATAGGTTAAATTTTAGACATTCGTAAATGTCAATCACATTAAATGTTGTTTACTCTCCAGCACACAATTCGTAATCATTATCCGAATAAATATCAATCAATTAAAATAAGTAAATACGTTTCACTCATGTATATAGAAACAAAATACTATACATTTTACAATAAAAACAAAACCATCAGAGCGAAGATAATAGCGGTCATTGAACCGAGACGTTAAACAAAAAGCCTAGTATAAATAGTGTAAATTTGTTCCAAAAGAAGTATTTAAATTTGGTAATTTGTTTCCGTTTAATTCGTGTGTAATAGGTACCTGTAATAACAAGATTGGAATCACACATATTTTTGACAGTTTTACTTATCGGAGTGTGAAATTGTGTTAAGCACTATGAATAACAGTATAATATTTTGTTCGTGCCGTTTGGAAATAGGTGGAATAAGAAGGATATACTTTCTATGGTGTCGACAAGAAAATGTTAGTTCATAGTTTTGTTTTGTTTTAATTTAAAAATATAGCTGTAAATTAAGTGTTAATATTTTAAAGTACTCCAAGAGAGTTTCAAAAAACTCGTACTTACACAGAAGTGTAGACGACCCATTAAGTAATTATATTTTTACTGTAACCAAAAGATTTATAAAAGTAAAATATTATTTATGTTATCTTGGACACTCTGAAAAAGTCACTAATACACCATCGTTACTTTCTTTACTTTAAAGAATGAAATTAATTTATATATAAAAACTTCTGTAACGTAACAAACAAAATAACGACCACCATGGTTGAGTTCAACCTGAGATAATAAACTATTGTAGTATTTGGACTACTCGTGCCTACTGGTTTACTTCACTCGTATTTGAAAATATAATTATTACTATAGTGAATTTCAGTAGTACATCTTTTAAAAGACTAAGGATATTCAGTAGTGAAATGAATTGCACCTCGGAAAATGTGTTCGACTAACTGTTTTTTTATTTTTATTGAAAATTTACTATGGAAATTAAAGTGTATTCAACTAATGATTATTTTTTGCTTGATTAAATTGAATCCAATTGCATCAGAATGATCGGTTTGAAACAAAATGAAGAAAACAAATAGTTTACTATAGACATTTTTTTTTGTTTACTACACCTTTTTCGTGGACAACATTTGTTTAAAAAATATAGAAAAATTTTAATTTCCAAATTCATTGAGTGAATTGAAAATATTACCGCGTTTTTTATACAACCATTATTGAAACCATACATGAATGTATAAACATTATTAATGCACATGAATAAAAAAATTAAATTAAATAAAAAAATATGATGAATAAAATTAATAATTATTTTCGGCGTGTTTATGTTACATGATGATTAAACTTTGTGGCTTACACTTCATGACATTTACTCACCTTGAAAATATATTGTTTGTTACTAAAATGCGGTTTTCAAGTAACCACCATAGATTTTTATGCGTAATTAATACTTACTATATGTAATTTGATTTACTATATTATCGATTAACATTTACAAATAGTTTTCTTTAAAAATATTACATTAAATATTATTAAATTATACTTGAATATGTTAAACTTAAACAGTTTTATAAAATATTTTAAAAAGTAAATTAATATTGATCACAGCGATACATCGAATAAAATTAACAATTAAAATTAAAAACTAAAATAAGCACCACAGGGTAGTATCAAAAAGCAGTAATATATTACTAACTTTAAAAACTACATACATTACATTGTTTAATAAATTCTTGAAAACTCGTACAAATAGCCAATAGAATAAGAGTTCTTTTTATTTTACGAAGTATCAAAATGAATGAGATATTTTTAATAAAAATATATAATAATATAATAAATTACGTAGGTAATTAATTTATTAATAGTACATAGTATTTTTAAATAGTTGAGTAGTGAAATACATAAATTATATTTGTTATTGTTTGTTAAATTTACCCATTTTTACTATAAATTTTGTAAGTTTATTTGTATTATAAATTCAAATGATCCAATGTAATTGTGTATTGACTAGTATTCTATATCTTTTGGCAACGGTGGGCAATTCACTTTTAAATAAAAGTGGTTTTATTATATTTAAACACAATATTGGATAAATAATAAAAAATTAAAGTAGGTATATAATATTTAGTTTTCGGTTCAACATTACGATAAAAATAATTAAAATTAGTCTAACTTGAATGCATGCAATTACTTTATGTCGTGTAATGCAGTATTATAAATTTTATAATAAATATGAACTTATCCTGCATCGAAAACATAATTAAAATGTATAATATCAAGAAAATATTTTATAATATCATTAAATCAATATTATAAGACACCTATATAGTGAAAATACTAAAATTTTTTAGTGTTAATTTTAAACAGGTAACCGAAAGCACGAATAGATGAATCATGTACACAATTTTTTTTAACATTTTTTTGCTACTTGCTACTTATTGTTACTTATTACTTACAATTTGCTACTAGAAAATAACTTAATAAACACGTCGATGAA